CGCGGGTTCTGTTGCACATCCCCCATACTTCGATGGCCACAACTATGGTGCATGGAAGGCTAAGATGAAGTCGTTTCTTTGGTCCTTAGATGAACGTGTATGGAATACAGTGGTTCATGGATTTCCTAAACCCATAAAGAAGATCGGAAAAGGAGATGAAGCAACCACGGTTGTCAAAACCAGAGAGGAGTGGACCACTGAAGAAGTCACACATAGCACTAAAAATCAAAAGGGGTTAAATGCTTTATTTACTGCTGTTTCTTCTGATCAATTTGAATATATATCTGGTTGTGATACTTCTAAGGAAGCTTGGGATATTTTGCAGGTTACTCATGAAGGAACAGATACTGTCAAGGGAGCCAAGCTTCAAATGCACACTTTACAGTTTGAGACACTCATGATGGATGAGAATGAAACTTTTTCTGAATTTTATGCTAAACTTTGTGTAATTGTGAATGTTTGTTCAAGTTTAGGTGAAAAAATTCCAGAATATAGGGTTGTGAAAAAGATTTTGAGATCCTTGCCTCAAAGGTTTCAACCAAAGATCACAGCTATTGAAGAGATTCGTGACTTAAACACCTCGAAAGTTCAAGAACTCATAGGGTCCATACAAACCTATGAGATGAAACATCTAGCTCCTAAAAAGAGCAAAAGTGTTGCTTTCAAGGTTGTGAATGAAGAAGATGATGGGCATTCTGATGAAGATTGCAGTGATGAGGAATTAACGATTCTCACAAGACGGTTCATGAACTTTCTTAAGAATCAGGATCCAAGGAGTCGAGATTCAAAATGTATAAATTCTAAAAGTAGATTTGTTGACTATACTGATGGTGGGTCTAAATTTCGCAGGTCAAATGAACGAAAGAATCCAAGAGAAAAGGTCAAATGTTTCGAATGTGAAGGTTATGGACACATATCTTCAGAATGTGCCAACACCTTAAAGAAACAAAAGAATGGCAAGAATAAGGCAATGCATACTACTTGGACTGACAGTGATTCTGACTCTGAAAATAATGAGAAAGCCATTGCCCTTATCACGACTGTAAGCTTGGATGAACCAACGAAGAAGGATGATGATTGTGAAGATATGGATGTTGAGTTTATCATGAACAAATATGATGATTTGTTGGCTGC